TACTGTCTGGGATTCCTGATCGACAGGGAAATACAGCTCCAGTATGTAGTAAGGCTCAACTCTATTGTGTGCCCCTTTCTTATTTACATCATAATAACCTGCGGCAATTTGAGGCAAAATCTTGAAGTCTTTACTCAATATTTCCCTGAGCCTTTATCCCATTTACTTTCCTACCCACTTAGGCTGGTAGTAGTGTTACCACTCTGATAAGTACCTACAACACACAAATAGGCCAGTCCCCTGGGAGGATGACATCCCTGTGTTATAAGCAAGACCAGTAGCTACCCATGTAGACAATGTTGCCTAACATTTTCTATTACCTAATTTATTTCCAGTTACTCATAACTTTGCCAACCTTTGAACCTTAGGCTAAAATTCTCCTGGCCGGGTGTCTGCTTCAGGCTGGATTTTTCCCCCTAGTTTCAGCTAAAATAATTTGTCTATTTCTGAGAACGAGATTGGGAAAATGATGTTGCTTTACCATATTTAAGATGTTTACAACATCACTATTAAGTTGCTCTAGGTCTTTCATGCTTAGGAGTAGGCACCATGCTTTGGCCTGAGGCTACTCTGGTATCAGGGATGGGCCTTCTGTTGCTCTTCTGAAAAGCCATTTACATTTGACCAAGTTTTAAGCCTCTGAAAAATCAGAGTTTGCACATACTCAGTAAAGATTTGTTAAATTTTCACTGCTAAATTCTTCAAAAATTCTACCTGCCCTGATTGCCTTCCAGACCCTGACACCTTGTGCATATAACCAAACTGCCTCATCCTCATACAGCAACTTACCATGCTCTATCTCAGGGCTCACAGCAGACTGAGCAGGTCTTTCCCTGCACTTGCTCCTCCTTAAGAGGCATGGTGCCTCTTAAGTGCTGGAGGCCAGCAGTAGAACTGAGGTGCTAGGCACAGGAACTGGGATCAGGGAGATTGTCTTTCCTGCGATGTCTGTATTTCTGCTGCTGTCCAGGCTGTGTGAAGGAGGAGGAGAAGGAAACAATCTGATTATAATGCAGAAAGGTGGGAGGTTATAAGCAGGGGTGAGATGGAAGAGGAGAAAATATGAAAAACTGGAGAAACATCCTGGCAGAAAGGATGACAATACAGGAGGAAAAGGGCCAGGAAAGGATATGGATAAGAGCAAGGGTGAGGGGAGAGGGAAGGTCAGAACACAAGCAGGAACTGGGGAGGATAGGAGCAGGGATGAGGAAGCAGAGGCTGGAGCTGGGAACAGGGATATAGGAGCAGAAGGGGAGACAGGCAGGCTGGCTAGGGCAGGGGCAAAAGGTGTTATCACAATTAGTGCCCGTGTTCCTCCATCAACTGGAACAGAACTCAGGACTCCTGAGTCTCAGCATTGCTTTGCTGTGACAAATAGTTGTGAAATCCACCAGCAACCTGTGTAGCTTATCTTCTAGTGCACTTGTGTTGCATTTCTATGATGCTATAATGGGTCTTGTACCAGGCAAAGAGACGAAGACACGGTTGTTCCAAACTAAAAGCAAGTTTATTGAACCCTAACAGATACAATTCTAATTAAAATTGAAGTAGCAGTAAAAATGTTAGGTTTCTAGCTAGTCAAAGTAGATGCTCACCACCCTGAAATGTGAACGCAACTCCACTGGTTGATCAGGCCAGGAAGTCTTGTTCGGGGCTCCTGGCTTCCACATCCAATGTTAAGACAGGATCTTGGATCGGTGACAGGGTTTCTTCAGGCTTTCTTCAGGAGTGTTCTGAAGGGTACACTTTTTTACCTTTCTTTATACACCATATAGCTTGCATTTTTTAATCCATAAAATTAACTTAAGCCTTCCTCCTAGCACATATTAATAATCTTGCTTCTGTTTGCCAAATATGGTTACCTTTAACTGGAATTTTCTGTTCTGAGTTAATCTTTTTATTCTTAGGTGGGGGTAGGTTTTGCTTTGACTGTTCCTGTTTTGCCCAGGTTATATTTATTTAATTTAGTTAGCCAACTTCCTGATTCATTTTAAGTTAGGGACAGTATTTTTCCATCTGCTTCTTTACTGGGTGCAGATCCTGACCACAATTCAAGATAAGCAGGGAGCTTGAGCTGAGCACAGAGGTCAAACCCAGGCCTGAAATCCTCTGGATCCCAACAATTCCCCCCATTTGATAACTTTTTTGTGAAGGGGTTATTACACCAATGCACCTTGCTTTTGTGGAGTGTACACCTTTTCATTTCTTTAATTTAAGGACTTATAGTGGGGGTTTAGTAGAGGTTAACAAAACCTCTGTGAAATGGATAAACTTGGCGACATGTCCAGTCAGTTAAAACAACAACACAGATGACAATAGCAATTTGGATGCCAATTATTATTACAATGGAGTGAAACATTAGATTTAAAACTTCTTGGGCAGTAGGACTCCATTCCAGCAAAACTTCCCACCAAGAATGTTTCTCCTCCCTTTGGACTTTTTTCATTACCTGCAAAACTATTTATTATTATGTTTAATTTGTACCATTTACGATTGTGATGTTTAATAGAATTTACCATGGCACGCACATCCGGATGAGACAAAACTTGTTTTAACATTGGGAAATTTAAACATAACAGAATTGGAGTAATGTTTTTATAAACCCATGGGCTAGTCCAGATACTCTGTGTCATTCAACAAGGCACCAAGTATTTAAAATTATAGCTTTTGGTAGACAAAACATTAGAAAAACTTTGTTTTATGGAAAATGCCATTAAATATAATTGAATTTGATCAAGCATTACATAGGAACAGTGTGTTTGTACACAAATGCTCCCTTTTCCAGCATAAACTATTGCAGAAAGATTTTTACTAATCATGTTAAAAACACATTGTTACACATCATGTTGCTTATCTAGAATATGATCTTCACACACATATTTTACATTTTTGTGAGTCAGGCACTCTTTTATGTTAATTGTTTTTCATGCATCCACTTCTTATATACCCACTAGTGGTGGTATCATAGGTACATGACAACATCCTTACTAACTTCAAGACCCACCAACACCAATGGGTATGTGGTAACTTGATATTTAGCACCAGCAGTGACTATATGAGCAACAATTTGTTGTTGTGCTTTCTTATATACAAAAGAGATTAACTTTCACCAAAGGGAAAGGTCCCTTTTTGCCACAGAGGCATGATCCCATACATTTTTTTTCAGTTTGGTAGGGAGGTGTCATTTTTACCCCCCAAAATTATTTGAATAACTATACTTTGACTTAGGGCCTGTGCGTGGATGCAAGCTACAGCCAGGGAGACATTGTATTGAATTAGCATGTCAATGGCAGTGATGATTACTTGGTCATTATTTTTTTAACCTGCTGTAATATGGGTAGAATGTCTCCCACCAGTTGGTTTCCTAGCCCTAGGCAGGATAATGATCCAACTAAGGGCCTTCTAATTTTTTGCATTTCAGCAGTAGCGTAACTCAATTTGTTTGCCAAAACTTTGATATTGGCACTGTCTAAAACAGCTGCTCCCAGTCCTGCTCTAGCACCTGCAGTCGATAGCACATCACGCTTTGTTTGTATGTGGATGTGGGCATTATTAGCATACCAAAGTTTTCGCCATTGCTTTTAACCTTGATGACTGGTTTGCACATAGGGGGTACATTTTGGAACACCTGTGGCCAAATTAAGTCCCTTTAAATCTATCTGAATTTCTTGAATAGCTTGTTGTACTCCCAATAAGACTTGTTTATCAGATTCAACTTAACAACCCAGTTGAATCCTGGCTGCATAATAGGGTTTTTACTTATTTGAGAGGCATTTAAAGTGGGATTAATCACTTGTAATGATACATTATGGCACACTGTCCATACCAAATAGGCAGCCTTTTCTACAATTTGTGGCACATTTCCCAAACATAGCCATAAAAACTGAATTTCCTGCAGAGTCCATAAACACTGATTTGGATTGGCAAGAGACGACCAAATTGGCAGACTTGAATTATTTACTAAGAGCTAATTCAATATTTATGACTGTTGTGTACAGGCCAATATAGTGGAAGAGATTTTTTCATCTGGAGCAGATAATTGGGTAGGAGAATTTTTCAACTGGGAACTCAGCTTGGACTCCTGAAGCCCAATTACAGTACGCAATGTTACCTTTATTTGTGGGACCCAACTGTGAAAGCACGCACTAATATTGCTTAACACCATGATGAAACATTATGGGGAGGGGGTTTACTACTTTCAGTTTCTTCCAAAGTTGAGTAGTACTCAACAGTGATATAACTCCCATCTTTACCAATCAAAGTTACATGGCTCTGACAAATATGACTTAGTTTTACTTTGCTTGATTCCCACAAGGAGGCTTTGCTTTGAATTACCAGGGTACCAGGGTCCATATTTATTTTAATTTTTTTGCCATCACCAAGATTGTGACATTTGCCATAGAACCCGTGTGCCTTTTTAGATGGGGTATGTACCACTAAG